TTTCAGGAAAACAGTAGCTGATGACTCAAACGGAAACAGGGGAGCAGGTCCAATGCTCCTCCATGAATCTTCACTGAGTATGAATATCTCTGCCTCGCGATCATGAAAATAAGAGTCATTAGGAGTCGAAACCAATAGATTGACCAATCGAATCGCCTTGCATCGGCAAGTTCTGAAACTGAAGCCAAACCCAGTAACTCCGATTTCATGATGCTGTCTAGTCCATCCATGTTTCCTCTTGGACCTAGCAATACTCACATATTCACCCGTGACCGGATTGCATACCATGACAGGATTGCATACCATGACAGGATCATCATATTTGGGTGTCCGTAGACAAAGCAATCCATTGCATGAATCGACTACACCGAATTTACCGCGAGTGGGAAATCTGAAAACCTCTAGAAGAGCTTCGTGTTGAGGAGGTTGTGTTTCTCATCAAGATCACCAGCCGTGTCCATAGGAACCATGTAGAGGGCTCTGAAGCGCCGTTTTGGGTTAAGGGTACGAAGCAAAGGGCAAATGCTGCCGGTCATTTGACGGAGCTCAGGGACAGAGACGACGTTAAGCCACGTTTTGGAAACGCACCTGCAGATAAAGACCGTCCTTACAGGAAGTCTTGAGAAAATGTCCATCAAGATCGGAATCGGCAAGTCGCTGACCGTCGTCACCGGAACCCGTCTATTTCCTCTCTTCCGCTTCTCCATGGCAAACCCCAGCGTCCCAACGAAAAGCGCCAGAACGAGAAGAGCTGGTGATGTCTATCGTTTCGATTCTCCTAAATCGGTCCGAATCCGTACGGGCAATGCCGAAAAACTAATTTTTCAGGGGCTCTGAGTCCACTGTAATAAATTTTGGATTGGGCCTCTAAGCTTCTTCTCCAAACTTCCATTCAAATGAGAAACCTTCCGGGGTGTTTTTTTTTTCTTCCTTCCCCAAAACCGTCAACTGTAATAAATTTTATAACTGAAACGAAAAAACTTGGATTAGTTTCGTTTCATGTGTTTTGATTCTTTATAACTATTACTGTATAGAATATTTCAAGAAACGTTACAGCAGTTAAAAATGTTAATATTTATTTTAAAATCTTAAAATTTAAATTTTGATATGGATGAAAAGGATTTTTAAAAAAAAGTTATCTTATTATATAAAGTAATTATAATTTAAAAAATAAAAATAGTTTCAATCCTAATATTAAACAAAGTAATATGTATTAACCCTCAATGGGAGCCCCTAAATTCTAAAACTTGAATACTAATTCATCTCAAAAAGATGATTCGAAATTCAGACAACCTATAATTCTATGAAATTGGATTTCATATATTTTAATTTTTTCGGTTTGAAAATAACTACAAATAATTGTATTTTTTTATTTTAAATTTATTTTAAAGTATATTTTAAGATAAAAAAATTTTTTTCTTACTTTAGCCGTATTATTATTATTTATTTATTTTAATTAATTATCTTACTATAAAAAATCTCTTTTTATCTTTTATTTTTATTTTAGAGCTATTATTTTGATACATCTAATAATAATAGATTAAATAAAAAGAAATAATTTTTTTTAAAATTTCTCTCATTTGATTTAAAATTTGAACTTAATATTTTCAATTTAAAATCTTAAATTTTTAATTATTATTTTTTAGATATTATAAGTAAATACAATTATTATCCCTAAATTTTTAATTCTAAAAAAAGTAAAAAAATAATTATTATTTTAAAATAATGGGAGTGAATTCTAAGTTTGAAACTTGCAAGAAAGAAACCAAGCAGATCTTATTCATATACATCAAACTTTAATCCAAAGCAGTTTTTTGTTATTATTATCAAGATTCAAGGGCACTAACTCGAAGATTCTCTTCGTTTATCGGAATTTCCTCAGCTACATCCGCCGGCCGCGAACCCCACCCTTTCATTGGGGCCATCGTACACCACTTGCAATGTTTTCTGTTGCACGTTTCCTAAAATACCCACTTTCGAGTCAACATTGTTTCCGGCGAATGCCAGGCATACTTGTGACCTGCTGATGGCGTACAAGATTCCGGCTGGGGCTATCTCCACCTCAATCCCGCCACTGAAGGAAATGCTTATTTTGGGTATGCGGACGGAATTGTAACTGCTAAAATCGTAACACGTGTCAAAGATTCCTAGTGCCTTCCCCATTGGGTAATTGGACATTCCTTGACGGAAAGCGGTTCTGAGAGCGGAGTACGCCGTCGGTGGGAGGCGGGTGATGACGGTTCCGGAGTCGATGATTGTGCCAGCCGTCGTGAACACCGAGGAGGAGATAGACAATCTCTCACCACCGACGCTAATTCCGGTGATACCGAGGCCGTAGAATGATGGACCCCTAGCGAGAGTGACTAAAGGAGTGAATTTCACGGAATTCGAGATGCCGCTGTTGCCGAAGGAGAGGTAACCGGTGGAACTGGCGGAGGATGGCAAGCAATAGGAGAAAACCTTGTTGTATTTCTGGGCTGTTTGTGATGGGAAGGATAGCTTATCACGGCCCAGCCCAAGTAACCCAGCTACGCCCATAAAAAGCCCTGTGTTGTTTTCGCCACATCCGAATAGGAACTTGTCGAAAATGTCTGTCGACGTCAAGGTCAGCCGTTCCGTGCCGAGGAACCCCATTGAGGAAGAATTGTCACCGTATCGTATTTTATAGACACAGGTTGAAGACGAACAATCCGGTGCATTCGCTGAAACAAGCAACACAAACAAAATAAAATTAAAAAACACGAATTACGATTGACCCAAAAACACATTAAAACAATGATTTAAAGATTATTTTTTCTAT